CCGGGCTCCGCCTCTGCAGGTATTTGCGATGCCCGCCCTCGGTCCATTCTCTCGGTGTCTTCCGCTACCCTGGTGCGAACCGGAACTTGGTGAAGGTGCAGTGGTGACTGCTGGGTTTATGGGGAGGACTGAGCCGGCACCGTGGTGCAGCCGTGCAAGTCGTTCTGGCAGCTTGCCGAATTTGAATTGCCGATCTGAAAGCAGGCTTGAGGCGATTTTTTTTTCCTGCCGGCTGCTTCATCTCGTTCCTTTTGCCCTCTCCGTTTTAATGAATCATATCTGCTAGACGTTACTAACTGTTTCTCCGCAGAGAACCTCAGTTGCGCTGACGATCTCTTTTGTCGGGGGGTAACCGGCCGATATGAAATGTCTAAGGGAACTACATTTTTAGACCCATTTACACTGGATTTGATCTTTTTTTTTTACAAAATGCGCAAACTGTGCTTCCAGTGTTTCCGGCGAAGATCAATGTGAAAGACAGTGGCTGAAGTGCTTTATTAATCAAACAGAGGCTAGCTTAAGTGGGTTTTGCTTCCAAGATGATGAGGAAGTAGTTGGATTTTAAAATGAGAACGACAGTTTCACCCATCAACCTTTCTATTCAACGTGCTCAACATACAGAGCATTTGTACTTGGAGGAAAGCAAGAGGAGAAAAGGCAGTGTGAGCTCATGTTAAACCACCGACAGCACCACCTTTACCTGAAAGAATTGTCTTTAGTTCAACGGTTGTTGAAATGTCTGGTGGTTCACAGCTGCACAGTACTTAGTTTCTGGGGTGATAAGCAACTCTACGTAATAGACATCCTGTAACAATCTTAAGGTTATTGTGGCAAGGAACAGATCATTATTATTGAACCTGATGGTGGTTAAAACATCTGTAAATGAAAGCTGGTTGTATCTTCTTTAATAAAGAAAACAGTGATACCCAGACCAGCACTCTGCTCTGTAGAAAGACTGTTCATTTGCTGGGGGATTCAATTTTTAATTCGAAGAGGGAAGGACTGTAGCCCATCTGATGATTTCTAATAATCATTTAACTAAGAAATTAACAAAAAACCACCCAGTATTTAATGAAAACAAGTTTCTGAAAAGTTAGTGTGTTTGAAGTTTGTCACAGATGCTTCCGTTGGCAATTACCTGTTTGTGTTTCCGCGCAGGCTGCATGGTAGCTATTATGAGCTCGCTATTCTGAAGTAATTGTGGCAATCTCAGTCCAGTTCTCAGCAGACCAATGGATGCATCGTTACTAACTGTAAGCAATTATCACTTCTCTTCGCAAAAATATCAGGGATCAGAAATGAACAGCAGGCTGGTTATGTGTGTGTGAAATGATGGTAGTGGTTTAAAAACACACGTGCACTGCAGTAACCCATAACCTGAGATGCTTTGTTTTGACAATATCAAAGTGCTTTAACATGTTACGATACAATGGAAGTGCATTGATAGATCGCTGTGAAGGACTGATCTAACTTCTGGTACATGTGATACTTGCATGGGAACACCCAGAGAAATAAAATCACTTTTTACTTATTTTTAGGTTACACACACAGAGTTATTTTTGGGGGGGCTGAATTAGAAAAAGTTAGTAGTACTTAAAATGCCTTGGTTTTTAATGTAAGAGTATCCCTCTTAGTCAAGCAGATACGTGTAGGATCCACAATGTAGTCCTCAATGTTAAGCAAAACAGAGAAGAAAAGCAACCTTCAGATAATTCTAGGTGGTTGTGTCCAGAACACATTGTGTGCTTCCTTCTTGGGGAAGTGGGAGTAGATCAAATGTAAGAATTATGAGGAGCTTGCTGCAGTGTTTATTATGGAGTACCTTTGTTCCTGTAGTACAGTAAGAACACGTCATGAGATACTTGACTTAAATAGGTTGCTTTGTTCAAGAATACTTCAGGTAACCATGTACCAGTTTAGCGTGTAGTCAGTCGACTGCCTTCTATTTTTGTCCTTCCAAAATGATGTTATATTAATTTTGAAGGTACTGATGTATTTTGTATGAGTTTGTAATACCGAGTGTGTATTTTTACACTGCAGAAACTCATACTAAAGCATTATGAATTTTTTAAGGATGATTAAGAGGAGAAATGAGCAAACTTGTCTCTAGAGTTCAGCTTAAGAAAAAAAAAAAGTGTCCCGTAAAAGGAATTTTGACTGGCATAAGCAAAAAGGCATCTGCAGTCTTTGAAGTACCGTGTGCACAAAGGTCAATTAAATCAAATGGAAAAACATAATTTGCCAATAAGTTTTGTCTGTTTATAATGTATTCTCCTCATGCTCTGGATGCTATTCTTAAAACATGCTAAATAAATTGAAGCAGATTTAAGAGGTAAGTCTCCTTGCTCTAAGGATCAAGAATCTTAAGTGTGAAGAGCTACAAATTGACCTGTTTGTACAAAATTACATCATTTGTTTATGATTTTCTGAATAACACAGAGAACTGTCCCTCAAGAAGTGTCTGGAGTCCATCGTGGGAAGAGAGGTCACCTGCTGCAGGTTACTTTCGGTTAGCTTTCCCCCAAGAAGTAGGTATCTCATAGCAGTTTTTGAAAATTATTCTTTATCTTCTTCCTTGCGTAAGGTACGGCTGATTTTTCAGGAACTTAACATTGCTTCGGATGCCCTTGTTAGTGGGAGTAACTGGTGCAGTGAGAAAAGGAAAATGGAGATACGTAGAAGTGTGCAAATACTTTCATAAATAGAAAGAAGGTGACCTTCAGCTGGGCCAAAGTCTATATTTTAATAGTCTGTATTTTAATTCTTGCTGTTCTTTAATATGCCTGTATATTAAGGAATTTACCCCAGGCTATTTCAGATTAAAGGCCTGTTTAAAAACAAAACAACCTGAAAAACTGCCCGAGTTTGCAGCTTCGTAGTACTTGGCTGACAGCTTTGTCCTAATACAAGCTGTCAAAATCTGGTGCACCGATGCAACTAAAAAATACTTATGACAGTAGTCAGGATATGAAGAAGCACCAATATGTTGCCCTCAGTGCACAAATTAAACTATATGCTTTTTTTTCTTTTTTTTTTTTTTTTTTTTTTTGACCGTGAGTATGGAGGTTCTTGTTTGACTAAAACACATGAGATTCACTCTTGGGTTTTTTTTGTTGGTTTTTTTTTTCCCCCTCATGTTAATATCCTGCATATATAAATTAAATGCGGTTGTCAGTAGGCATATGGAAAAAAAGTGGCTGACGTGGTATGAGCCTTTGAAACATGCTGTATCACTTTAGAAATTTGTCCCCTTCCTGCCCTGAAAAACAACACCCTCTCCTTCCCACTCCCAGTCCCCAGAACACGTAGAGGAAAACATCCACCAGGGTACAAATCTATAGGTTCTGGAATACTCTGTGCAAGGAATATTGATGGATTATGTCATTTGTAGCATTACAACAACAAAGAGTAGCTGAATGAACCACAGACGTGAAGTTGAACTGAAATGTTTGTATGCGTCAAAATACACACTAACAGAGCACAAGATCTCCTCAAAGGTGAAAAAGAACAGAGGCTGTGTTGGAAAAGTACCAAGCGTTCGAATGGTTAGGGAGGAATGACATCTCCAGAGAAAAGAACCAAAAACAAGTTCTCCAGTGTGTATATAGAGACAAGTGTTGGCTTTCAAATGAGGGAGTGATTGTTTTTCAGAGTTAAGGGGAACTGGTGGCTATGTTCATTATCTAGAACTGATTGGGTATGTTCATTACATAGGAGTATAGAAACAGGCAAAGGAGATTTAACCAGTACGGGTTAAGATTTAGTAGGAAACAATGAGTAGGCAGGTGATAATTACAAAGGAAGAGGACAGGATGTAATAATGCTTACACACTGCTACCCATTAAAACATTTTGAAGAGCTTTTTCTCTCCTTGCGTTTCCTGCTCCCAGAGAGGATAGCCATTAACTTTTAAAATTATTTGTGATTATTTTAGCTGTATGGTCTGATCCTGGAAGTCATACTGTACTGCTTACATAGTAGTAAATGTTGATTTAACAGGCTATAAACATGCAGTTGGGAGTGGGGAGCCTGTCTTTGAAAACTTGTGCCTCTGCATAAATGTCAGCAATCTGTCACTTGATTCATTGCTTGTATTGCCTTGTCAAAAATACTAAATGAATGCAATGTGATTTGTGTAAACATGTAAGCTGCCTTTTTAGCTTGTGGTGCTGGACACCTCTGATGTGTCCTTTCCACATTGCGTGTAGATTGACATACATTTGCTACTTTTTTCTAAGTGCTTGGATTGTCCTGTTAAGAAGTATATTCCTATGACTGAATTCCCTACAAATACCAAAATCAGAGACTTAATTTTTTGTGGAACCCATTGTGCTCCACAAGGCAGCATTACTGTTGCTGCTGTTTTCGGAGAAGAGTGCTTGGCGCCCCGTCAAGCTTTCACTTAATGGCAATGTAATTTCCCACCACCTTGTTTTCAAAACACCACAGATTTATTATTTTCTCTGGCTAAATGAAATGTTAATTGTTTGTAGTAATCTTGTGTGCCTGTTAAAGATTTTACTTGAAATGTTGTACAGTTCTGTGAAATCAAAAGAATAATGAACTGTTACATTAATTTCATAGCATCAGATAAATGGTTGGAATTGTATTCTGTTTAACGTGATTTTTTTAAGTATATTTCTACAAAAGATTCCATGGATAAAATATTCACTTTTTCGCACAGTAATGTGTTCGAAAACAAAGCTAGGGCAGATTCCTGCAGCTTCACATAAGTAAACTGCATCTGAATCGGTGGGAATTATTATGTAAATAAGAAGAGCAGTGGCCTGCTACTGTATTTGTACACCAGGGTCAAGTTTTCTAAAGGTAAACTTGTTCCTGTAGAAATAAATCCTAAACTTGGAATCACTTTATCTGCCAAAAAAAAAAAAAATCTAACTTCCATAAACAGATGTTTTGGTAGTAAAAAATAGGAGTTCTGCACAGAACAATCTTTTTGGGTGAAATAATTAAAATAAAGGCAGCCCTCCAAAAAAGAAAACTTTTATCTTCCGCATTCTTTGTTTACATTAGCAGTGACAAAAGTTAAGGGGTTTCAGTAACCAATACAAGTATTTGTATTAGGCATGTTAGTATCACTCATTTTTTTCCTAAATGAAATTACCCCTTTTGCCAGTCTTAAATCAATTGGAGCTGCTGTGTCCTCTTTCTTCAGTAGAGAATTCTCATGTTTCTAGCTGACTTATTCTTGTGATGTGCCAGGACACATGCAGAGCTGTTTAAAAATATTCTTTTCTTAACTAACTTAAGTAAACTGACTTTGACTTCAGCTTTAAAAAATTTGAGAGGTTTTTATCTACACCCCCCTTATTTGCTCTTTACTTGCTAGAGCCTGCCAACACTATTTTTGTCTTTGCCTGAGTCATACTTGAGTTTATTCCATGTCTTCTGCTTTGCCGTAGACAGAGTCACGCATTTAAAATAATTCCATGAATAGAACTTCACAGAAAATCTTGTGGCTGTACTGTTTGCTGTTCTAAAGTATTCTCTCTGAATCGTTGTCTGATGTGACTGCTGTTATGGAATGAGTGAGACCGTTCCTCCCTGTTGCCAATGTGCTGGTAAATTCCTGAATTCTGATTCTCTGTGTTCTCATTATTCACGCTCGATGACTGGAGAAACATGCAAGGTAGGAGAGGAATCTCCTTCCAAATACATTTATATTTTCTGATTGTAACTCATAGGTTTCCAAGTTCTAGGAAGCATGTTCTAATGCTGAATTATTTGGTGGAGGAAGACCAAGCGAATAGTAAAATCAAGGACAACTGGTTATATGCCTTAATCACTGCTATGCATTCATGCTAATATGGTGGGAAGGGGATTTAAGAAGACATAATCAAGCATTTATGCATAAATATTATGACAATGGACTAAAGAATCTGTTATACCCCTTTAAATTGGAGTTAACTCCACCAAAACTCTGCTTGACTTTGCTGGTTTAATGGATAGAAATCGGCCGATGCTGGTTCGCTAGACAGGCTGTATTTAACTGCACCTGGGCAGGAGGGCTGGCATCTGCCCCATCTGTCACAGCTGTGCAAAGGTGGTCCCCTCCTCCCGACTCGTGGTGCTTCTGCTGACTTTGCCAGTGAAGCAATTCTGTTCTGTGCAGGGAGGGTACCGACCTGCCTCTTCCCTGTGCAGGGCATCCAAGCAGAGCTTACCTTTCTAACCCTGTAACACCACTGGAAAGAGTTAAAGGAGTTGACAGGAAGGAACTGTAAACAGTTCTTCAGGTGGGTCAGCCCTGGGGAAGAGTTGCCAACTGCCACCCAAAATGCACGGCTACTTGCTAGGCAGTAGAGAAGTCTTGGGTATCTTTGTTCCCCTCTTTGTGAGTGGATTATATTATGGTGTGTAAGAGAGTGCAAGTGCTGTAGCGAGGCGTACGTGTTTTGAACAGTGAGATGAATAAGTGTGCACAATTTGAAGTATCTGAACATCTGCTTTTTACTGAGTGAGAATCAGAACGTGTAACTCCGTGGTTGCACAGTGATATGGGGAAGTGAACCTTGGATATTTCTGTTGGGGATTGTGCCTTTATCGTTAGCTGTTGTTGGTAGAAAGGAAGAAAGGAGATTTGAACTGGATTTCAGTTTACCAGCCTTCACTAGAGGGCTGCTTCTCCTTTGTAAACGTTGTGAACTATTGGTATAAAGATCTGACATGGGAACTGTTAGCTGTTTCCTTTCTTCCTTTGAGGAACTTAATGAAAAAGGAAATGCTTTTTGCTTGTTGCACATCAGATTGTCAGGGAGGGAGATTAAATTGCCCACTGTCAGAAGTCAACAGTAATACCAAGTGGCTCAGAAGCAGGCACGTGGAGATTAATTTGCTGTAAAATGTCATGAGGTTTAAGTGTATGAAGTATTATTTCCCTCTTGCAAAAAGCTGGGGGAAAAGAGTGAAGCCTTTGGCTTTCACGCCTGGCTAATCGAGCCTTCTCACTTGGCGTCAGTAGGGATCTGCGGCTTCGCTGCAGTTGGGAGCGCTCACCTGTCGTAGCGCAGCGGGTGTGAAAGTTCGGCGGGGCGGGGCAGGCGCACCGGGAGGACGAGGGCAGCTCGGGCCCGAGCCCCCGGT